TCGAAAACTACTTCTGAGTCATCCTCTGATTTCTTCAGTATCACAGGTCCAAGAACAATCGGAATGGTATCAGACAATTTATCAGGTGCAGAGACGTCACGACGTTGACGTTGTTGGCAGTCTCTATAGCATCGCCAGTCACTTCCGTTGCAAATAGACAATTGACAGTGAACAAACACCTATAACATGATAATTTAAGAATTATAAAGAAATTGGATCTAAACAATTGACTTTCGCTGATTTAAAAATGTGCTTCTTCAAATGTTCTTAAACTGATCACAGTTTCTTTACTTGGACCAAACTAAGATATTTTAAATTATCCGCAGTTATAGCACGTCCAATCTCATTATTTCTCTAGATGTTTTGTTAATAATAGCAGTTTTCGAATAACATATGGTGCAAAAGGCCGTATGTAGACCTACATTAGTCGTTTTCTAGTCCTTAAAGCCAGGCTCCGAAGGAAAAATGTAAATAGGCCTATGTGGTACAACAGATTTAAAAAAAAATGTTTGACGATGAACTCGTAAAGATTAATGAGATACTGAATACTTAAAAACCGTGAAGGCTAGGGGTGGGGAGAATGATTAGGCCAATTTTTCAAATATGAGTACAACAATATCGCTAGTCCCTAATCATAACATGTTAAGTTAAAAAGTGCTACAGGCTCCTCCTGTTCAAGAAAAAAAAAAATCACTACTCTCTCTGCTGTAGAGTGCAATAATCCTACCGTAGAGTAATCACCATTGACACCAAAACTTTTAAATGAAAATAAGACACGTGATGTATCTCCCGACGTTGGCTGGCCGTCGAAATGAACAGTTGAGTCTACACCACAGCTGCAGTAAAAAAAAAGAATACTTTGGCCACATTATGCGGATTACCATAATCATTATATTTCTGAAAATGGATATAAAATTTCAAATAAAAAATAGTACTGTATAGTCAATGAAGGCTGTACCTGTTTTCGATTAATTGATACTGTGGATTAACATCCGGATCAGGATTAGGTGTCGCCTTGCAAGAATCCACAAAAAGAATCATATCGTCACTAAAAGCTTGCACACTGGCACCGACGTACACTGTACTACCAAGACTCAATTCTACAGGGTATTCCCAATATGGGTATGGTGTAGAGTAATGTTCATCAGTGTAAAGCTCCATGGCAAACGTGAAATTCCCGTGTTCTCGCTTGAAGAAATCTTGTACAACAGGATCGAAATTAACCGAAGATCGCCCTCTATTGTCAAGCCGACAGTCAATGTCAATGCGAATATCATCTTCTCGGTATATCACGGATCTACTGTCTTTGGATACAATAATCTGATTGTGGTAAGTTGTCGTAGCAACTGTGGACTGAATAATGCGCATTTCGTGTATTAGTATTAATCAAGACAGAAAATACTGTATACTCTCTGACTTTTTCTAGTAACGGAGTCGACGAGAAAATGGTACTCTACTTCTAATCCATAAAATTAACATTCCCTTAAACAGCGTGGTTTATAATACGTA